AATCTCAGGGTCCTTCCCACATACCTATTGCTGAGAGAAGCCTCCTCTTGAGGTGCTTCTGGAAAGTTGGCATACATCTTTAGCTTAAGCCAGGGAATCAGCTCTCATCTCGAGACGATTTGGGGTACACGGAGCACACCTCGAGTTGCTGTGCTGAAGTTGGTGTTCCTCTAGACTTGGGACAGTGTTCTCGGGGCATCTCTGGAGTTGCCTGAAGGAAGTCGAGCCACCGGTCGTGTTGAATGGGGAACGGGGGATGGCTCTGGATTCAATGCAGGGGAATCGGGCCTCATCTCGAGTTGATTTGGGGCAAATGGAGCTGCTTTGCGTTGCTGGGGTGACCTCAGGGTCCGGCTAGACAGGTGACAGTGTTCTTGGGGAATGTTTCGAGATCCATTATGCAAATCGAAGCTCCTGACTTGTTTGAATGGGATCACGGAATAGCTCTGCATGCACTGCAGGGGAATGGGGCCTCATCTCGCCTCTAGGGGTAAGTCTCATGATTTTTCTCGAGTTGCGGCGGGGACCTGGGGTATGTTCTCGACTTACGACGGGGATGGCCCTTCAAAACACGTGTTTATTCAGTGACGATAGGACTCCTGTCTAGTAACTAGGGACACCTCAGTAATCTTCGAGTCTTGGCAGGGCAAAAGGGACGCTTCTTGAAGTGAGGCAGGGCACCCAAGGACCCTTTCCAGTAGCCACAGGGATTTTGGGATTCCTATCAGTATTCAAGAGGAGTCAGGCATCGTCACCTTTTGAAGCAATGAACTCCGCGTGCCTCTCGAGGTGTCAACGGGATGTGAGGCATTCCGTTATAATGAGGCAGGGAACTAGGGCTATCTCTAATGTCTCCACAGGGGATTCAGACATCCCTTCATGTTGTGAGATGAAAGACGAGCCTGTATTCAAGCCACTGCAAGGAAATCCGGCCTTCTTTCAAGTTAGGGCTTCTCGCTGTATATTCCCCTTGAGGCAGCGATCTCGGGGTCCCTCCCACATACCTATTGCTGAGAGAAGCCTCCTCTTGAGGTGCTTCTGGAAAGGTGGCATATGTCTTGAGCCTAAGCCAGGGAATCAGCTCTCATCTCGAGACGATTTGGGGTACACAGAGCATAACTCGAGTTGCTGTGCTGAAGTTGGTGTTCCTCTAGACTTGGGACAGTGTTCTCGGGGCATCTCTGGAGTTGCCTGAAGGAAGTCGAGCCACCGGTCGCGTTGAATGGGGAACGGGGGATGGCTCTGGAGTCAATGCAGGGGAATCGGGCCTCATCTCAAGTTGAACTGGGGCAGATGGAGCTGCTTTGCGTTGCTGGGGTGACCTCAGGGTCCGTCTAGACTGGTGACAGTGTTCTTGGGGACTGTTTAGAGATCCATTATGCAAATCGAAGCTCCTGACTGGTTTGAATGGGATTACGGAGTAGCTCTGCATGCACTGCAGGGGAATGGGGCCTCATCTCGCCTCTAGGGGGAAGTCTCATGGTTTTTCTCGAGTTGCGGCGGGGACCTGGGGTATGTTCTCGACTTACGGCGGGAATGGCCCTTCAAAACACGATTCCCTTCAGTGATATCAGGACTCCTGTCTAGTAACGAGGGACACCTCCGGAATCTCTTTGAGGCCTGACAGGGCAAAAGGGACGCTTCTCGAGGTGAGGCAGGGCACCCAAGGACCCTTTCCTAGTAGTCACAGGGATTTTGGTATTCCTATCAGTATTCAAGAGGAGTCAGGCATCGACACCTTTTTAAGCAATGAACTCCGCGTGCCTCTCGAGGTGTCAACGGGATGTGAGGCATTCCGTCAAAATGAGGCAGGGAACTAGCGCTTTCTCTAAGGTCTCCACAGGGGATTCAGACATCCCTCCATGTTTTGACATCAAAGACGAGCCTGTATTCAAGCCACTGCAAGGAAATCCGGCCTCCTTTCAAGTTAGGGCTTCTCGCTGTATATTCCACTAGAGGCAGCGATCTCGGGGTCCCTCCCAAATACCTATTGCTGACAGAAGCCTCCTCCTGAGGTGCTTCTGGAAAGGTGGCATACGTCTTGAGACTAAGCCAGGGAATCAGCTCTCATCTCGAGACGATTTGGGGGACTCGGAGCATTCCTCGAATTGCTGTGCTGAAGTTGGTGTTCCTCTAGACTTGGGACAGTGTTCTCGGGGCATCTCTGGAGTTGCCTGAAGGAAGTCGAGCCACCGGTCGTGTTGAATGGGGAACGGGGAATGGCTCTGGAGTCAATGCAGGGGAATCGGGCCTCATGTCGAGTTGATTTGGGGCACATGGAGCTGCTTTGCGTTGCTGGGGTGACCTCAGGGTCCGTCTAGACTGGTGACAGTGTTCTTGGGGACTGTCTCAGGATCCATTAAGCAAGTCGAAGCTCCTGACTTAATTTATGGGGATCACGGAATTGCTCTGCATGCACTGCAGGGGAATCGGGCCTCATCTCACATCTAGGGGGATGTCTCATGTTTTTTTTTCGATTTGCGGAGGGGATATGCGGTATGTTCTCGAGTAACGGCGGGGATTGCCCTTCAAAACTCGTGTTTATTCAGTGACCTCAGGACTCCTGTCTAGTAACGAGGGACACCTCAGTAATCTCTTCGAGGACTGGAAGGGCACATGAGACGCTTCTCGAGGTGAGGAAGGGCACCCAAGGACCCTTTCCAGTAGCTAAAGGGATTTGGGGATTCCTATCAATATTCAAGAGTAGTCAGGCATCTTCACCTTTTGAAGCAGTGAACTCTGCGTGCCTCTCGAGTTGTCAACGGGATGTGAGGCTTTTCGTCAAAATGAGGCAGGGACCTAGGGCTTTCTCTAAGGTCTCCACAGGGGATTCAGACATCCCTTCATGTTGGAAGATGAAAGACGAGCTGTATTCAAGCCACTTCAAGGAAACCCGTCCGCCTTTCAAGTTAGGGCTTCTCGCTGTATATCCCACTTGAGACAGCAAACTCGGGGTCCCTACCACATACCTTTTGCTTAAAGAAGTCTCCCCTTGAGGTGCTTCTGGAAAGTTGGCATACGTCTTGAGCCTAAGCCAGGGAATCAGCTCTCATCTCGAGACGATTTGGGGTACATGGAGCATTCCTCGAGTTGCTGTGCTGAAGTTGGTGTTCCTCTAGACTTGGGACAGTGTTCTCGGGCATGTCTGGTGGTGCCTGAAGGAAGTCAAGCCACTGGTCGTGTTGAATAGGGAACGGGTGATGGCTCTGGAGTCAATGGAGTGGAATCGTGCCTCACTTCGAGTTGATTTGTGGCACATGGAGCTACTTTGTGTTGCTGTGGTAACCTCAGGGTCCATCTAGACTTGTGACAGTGTTCTTGGGGACTGTCTCGAGATCCATTAAGGAATTCGAATCTCCAGTCTTGTTTGATGGGGATCACGGAATTGCTCTGCATGCACTGCACGGGAATCGAGGCTCATCTCGCATCTATGGGGAAGTCTCATGGTTTTTCTCGAGTTGCGGCGGGGATCTGCGGTATGTTCTCGAGTTACGGCGGGGATGGCCTTTCAAAACACATGTTTATTCAGTGACGTCAGGACTCCTGTCTAGTAACGTGGGACACCTCAGGAATCTTTTTGAGCCTTGGCAGGGAAAAGGGACTCTTCTCGAGGTGAGGAAGGGCTCCCAAGGACCCTTTCCAGTAGCCACAGGGATTTTTGCATTCCTATCAATATTCAAGAGGAGTCAGCCATCGTCACCTTTTGAAGCAGTGAACTCTGATGCCTCTCGAGTTGTCAACGGGATGTGAGGCTTTTCGTAAAAATGAGGCAGGGACCTAGGGCTATCTCTAAGGTCTCCACAGGGGATTCAGACATCCCTTCATGTTGGGAGATGAAAGACGAGCCTGTATTCAAGCCACTGCAAGGAAACCCGGCCTCCTTTCAATTAGGGCTTCTCGCTGTATATAACATTTGAGGCAGCAAACTCGGGGTCCCTACCACATACCTATTGCTGAAAGAAGCCTCCCCTTGAGGTGCTTTTGGAAAGTTGGCATACGTCTTGAGCCTAAGCCAGGGAATCACCTCTCATCTCGAGAGGATTTGGGGTATATAGAGCATTCTTCGAGTTGCTGTGCTGAAGTTGGTGTTCCTCTAGACTTGGGACAGTGTTCTCGGTGCATCTCTGAGTTGCCTGAAGTAAGTCAAGCCACTGGTCGTGTTTAATCGGGAACGGGGGATGGCTCTGGGGTCAACGCAGGGGAATCGGGCCTCATGTCGAGTTGATTTGGGGCACATGGAGCTGCTTTGCGTTGCAGGGGTGACCTCAGGGTCCGTCTAGACTTGTGACAGTTATCTTGGGGACTGTCTCGAGATGCATTAAGCAAGTCGAAGCTCGTGACGTGTTTGATGGGCATCACCGAATTGCTCTGCGTGCACTGCAGGGGAATCGGGCCTCATCTCACATCTAGGGGGAAGTCTCATGATTTTCCTCGATTTGCAGCGGGGAATGCACTATGTTCTCGAGTTACGGCGGGGATTGCCCTTCAAAACTCGTGTTTATTCAGTGACGTCAGGACTCCTGTCTAGTAACGAGGGACACCTCAGAAATCTCTTTGAGGACTGGCAGGGCACGAAGGACGCTTCTCGAGGTGAGGCAGTGCACCCAAGGAAACTTTCCAGTAGCCACAGAGATTTTGGGATTTCTACCAATATTCACGATGAGTCAGGCTACGTTACCTTTTGAAGCAGTGAACTCCACGTGCCTCTCGAGGTGTCAACGGGATGTGAGGCATTCCGTCAAAATGAGGCAGGGACCTAGGGCTTTCTCTAAGGTCTCCACAGGGGATTCAGACATCCCTTCACGTTGGGAGATGAAAGACGAGCCTGTATTCAAGCCACTGCAAGGAAACCCGGCCTCCTTTCAAGTTAGGGCTTCTCCCTGTATATCCCACTTGAGGCAGCAAACTCGGGGCCCCTCCCACATACCTATTGCTGAGAGAAGACTCCCCTTGAGGTGTTTCCGGAAAGTTGGCATACGTCTTGACCCAAAGCCACGGAATCAGCTCTCATCTCGAGACGATTTGGGGTACACGGAGCATTCCTCGAGTTGCTGTGCCAAAGTTGGTGTTCCTCTGGATTTGGGACAGTGTTCTCGGGGCATCTCTGGAGTTGCCTGAAGGAAGTCAAGCCACTGGTCGTGTTTACTGGGAAACGGGGGATGTCTCTGGAGTCAACGCAGGGGAATCGGGCCTCATCTCGAGTTGATTTGGGGCACATGGAGCTGCTTTGCGTTGCAGGGGTGACCTCAGGGTCCGTCTAGACTTGTGACAGTGATCTTGGGGACTGTCTCGAGATGCATTAAGCAAGTCAAAGCTCCTGACTTGTTTGATGGGGATCACGGAATTGCTCTGCGTGCACTGCAGTGTAATCGGGCCTCATCTCACATCTAGGGGGAAGTCTCATGGTTTTCCTCGAGTTGCAGTGGGGACCTGCAGTATGTTCTCGAGTTACGGCGGGGATTGCCCTTCAAAACTCGTGTTTATTCAGTGACGTCAGGACTCCTGCCTAGTAACGAGGGTCACCTCAGTAGTCTCTTTGAGGACTGGCAGGGCACGAGGGACGCTTCTCCAGGTGAGGCAGTGCACCCAAGGAAAATTTAGTAGCCACAGAGATTTTGGGATTTCTACCAATATTCACGATGTGTCAGGCTACGTTACCTTTTGAAGCAGTGAACTCCACGTGCCTCTCGAGGTGTGAATGGGATGTGAGGTATTCCGTCATAATAGGCAGGGACCTAGGGCTTTCTCTAAGGTCTCCACAGGGGATTCAGGCATACCTTCACGTTCGGAGATGAAAGACGAGCCTGTATTCAAGCCACTGCAAGGAAACCCGGCCTCCTTTCAAGTTAGGGCTTCTCGCTGTATATCCCACTTGAGGCAGCAAACTCGGGGCCCCTCCCATATACCTATTGCTGAGAGAAGCCTCCCCTTGAGGTGCTTCCGGAAAGTTGGCATACGTCTTGACCCAAAGCCACGGAATCAGCTCTCATCTCGAGACGATTTGGGGTACACGGAGCATTCCTCGAGTTGCTGTGCTGAAGTTGGTGTTCCTCTAGACTTGGGACAGTGTTCTCAGGGCATCTCTGGAGTTGCCTGAAGGAAGTCAACCACTGGTCGTGTTTAATGGGGAACGGGGGATGGCTCTGGAGTCAAGGCAGGGGAATCGGGCCTCATCTCGAGTTGATTTGGGGCACATGGAGCTGCTTTGCGTTGCTGGGGTGACCTCAGGGTCCATCTAGACTTGTGACAGTGTTCTTGGGGACTGTCTCGAGATCCATTAAGCAAGTGGAAGCTCCTGACTTGTTTGATGGGAATCACGGAATTGCTCTGCGTGCACTGCGGGGTATCGGACCTCATCTCACATATAGGGGGAAGTCTCATGATTTTTCTTGATTTGTGGTGGGGACCTGCGGTATGTTCTCGAGTTACGGCGGGGATTGCCCTTCAAAACACATGTTTATTCAGTGACGTCAGGACTCCTGTCTGCTAACGAGGGACACCTCAGGAATCTCTTTGAGACCTGGCAGGGCAAAAGGGACGCTTCTCGAGGTGAGGCAGGGCACTCAAGGACCCTTTCCAGCAGCCACAGGGATTTTGGGATTCCTATCAGTATTCAAGAGGAGTCAGGCATCGTCACCTTTTGAAGCAGTGAACTCCGCGTGCCTCTCGAGGTGTCAACAGGATGTGAGGCATTCCGTCAAAATGAGGCAGGGACCTAGGGCTTTCTCTAAGGTCTCCACAGGGGATTCAGACATCGCTTTACGTTGGGAGATGAAAGACGAACCTGTATTCAAGCCACTGCAAGGAATCCCGGCCTCCTTTCAAGTTAGGGCTTCTCGCTGTATATCCCACTTGAGGCAGCAAACTCGGGGCCCCTCCCACATAACTATTGCTGAAAGAAGCCTCCCCTTGAGGAGCTTCTGGAATGTTGGCATACGTCTTGAGCCTAAGCCAGGTAATCGGCTCTCATCTCAAGACGATTTGGGGTACACAGAGCATTCCTCGAGTTGCTGTGCTGAAGTTGGTGTTCCTCTAGACTAGGGACAGTGTTCTCGGGGCATCTCTGGAGTTGCCTGAAGGAAATCAAGCCACTGGGCGTGTTTAATGGGGAACGGGGGATGGCTCTGGAGTCAACGCAGCGGAATCGGGCCTCATCTCGAGTTGATTTGGGGCACATGGAGCTGCTTTGCATTGCAGCGGTGACCTCAGGGTGCGTCTAGACTTGTGACAGTGTTCTTGGGGACTGTCTCGAGATGCATTAAGCAAGTCGAAGCTCCTCACTTGTTTGATGGGGATCACGGAATTGCTCTGCATGTACTGCAGGGGAACCGGCCCTCATATCGCATCTAGGGGGAAGTCTCATGGTTTTTTTCGATTTGCGGTGGGGACCTGCGGTATGTTCTCGAGTTACGGCGGGGATTGCCCTTCAAAACTCGTGTTTATTCAGTGATGTCAGGACTCCTGTCTAGTAACGAGGGACACCTCAGTAATCTCTTCGAGGACTGGCAGGGCATGAGGGACGCTTCTCGAGGTGAAGCAGTGCACCCAATGACCCTTTCCAGTAGCCACAGAGATTTTGGGATTTCTACCAATATTCACCATGAGTCTGGCTACGTTACCTTTTGAAGCAGTGAACTCCGCCTGCCTCTCGAGGTGTCAACGGGATGTTCGGCATTCCGTCATAATGTCGCAGGGACCTAGGGCTTTCTCTAAGGTCTCCACATGGGATTCAGACATCCCTTCATGTTGTGAGATGAAAGATGAGCCTGTATTCAAGCCACTGCAAGGAAACCCGGCCTCCTTTCAAGTTAGGGCTTCTCCCTGTATATCCCACTTGAGGCAGCAAACTCGTTGCCCCTCCCACATACCTATTGCTGAAAGAAGCCTCCCCTCGAGGTACTTCTGGAAAGTTGGCATACGTCTTGAGCCTAAGCCAGGGAATCAGCTCTCATCTCGAGACGATTTCGGGTACACGGAGCATTCCTCGAGTTGCTGTGCTGAAGTTGGTGTTCCTCTAGACTAGGGACAGTGTTCTCGGGGCATCTCTGGAGTTGCCTGAAGGAAATCAAGCCACTGGGCGTGTTGAATGGGGAACGGGGGATGGCTCTGGAGTCAACGCAGCAGAATCGGGCCTCATCTCGAGTTGATTTGGGGCACATGGAGCTGCTTTGCATTGCAGGGGTGACCTCAGGGTGCGTCTAGACTTGTGACAGTGTTCTTGGGGACTGTCTCGAGATGCATTAAGCAAGTCGAAGCTCCTCACTTGTTTGATGGGGATCACGGAATTGCTCTGCATGTACTGCAGGGGAACCGGCCTCATCTCGAATCTAGGGGGAAGTCTCATGGTTTTTCTCGAGTTGCGGCGGGGATCTGCGGTATGTTCCCGAGTTACGGCGGGGATGGCCTTTCAAAACACATGTTTATTCAGTGACGTCAGGACTCCTGTCTAGTAACATGGGACACCTCAGGAATCTCTTCGAGGCTTGGCAGGGCACAAGGGACTCTTCTCGAAGTGAGGAAGTGCACCCAAGTACCCTTTCCAGTAGCCACAGGAATTTTGGGATTCCTATCAATATTCAAGAGGAGTCAGGCATCCTCACCTTTTGAAGCAGTGACCTCTGCGTGCCTCTCGAGGTGTCAACGGGATGTGAGGCTTTCCGTCAACATGAGGCAGGGACCTAGGGCTTTCTCTAAGGTCTCCACAGGGGATTCAGACATACCTTCATGTTGGGAGATGAAAGACGAGCCTGTATTCAACCCACTGCAAGGAAACCTGGCCTCCTTCAGGTTAGGGCTTCTCACTGTATATTCCACTTGAGGCAGCAAATTCGGGGTCCCTCCCACATACCTATTGCTGAGAGAAGCCTCCCCTTGAGGTGCTTCCGGAAAGTTGGCATTCGTCTTGACCCAAAGCCACGGAATCAGCTCTCATCTCGAGACGATTTGGGGTACACGGAGCGTTCCTCGAGTTGCTGTGCTGAAGTTGGTGTTCCTCTAGACTTGGGACAGTGTTCTCGGGGAATCTCTGGAGTTGCCTGAAGGAAGTCAAGCCACTGGTCTTGTTTAATGGGGAACGGGGGATGGCTCTGGGGTCAATGCAGGGGAATCGGGCCTCATCTCGAGTTGATTTGGGGCACATGGAGCTGCTTTGGGTTGCAGGGGTGACCTCAGGGTCCGTCTAGACTTGTGACAGTGTTCTTGGGGACTGTCTCGAGATCCATTAAGCAAGTCGAAGCTCCTGACTTGATTGATGGGGATCACGGAATTGCTCTGCGTGCACTGCAGGGGAATCGGGCCTCATCTCACATCTAGGGCGAAGTCTCATGGTTTTTTTCGATTTGCGGTGGCGACCTGCGGTATGTTCTCAAGTTACGGAGGGGATTGCCCTTCAAAACTCGTGTTTATTCAGTGATGTCAGGACTCCTGTCTAGTAACGAGGGACACCTCAGTAATCTCTTCGAGGACTGGCAGGGCATGAGGGACGCTTCTCGAGGTGAGGCAGTGCACCCAATGACCCTTTCCAGTAGCCACAGAGATTTTGGGATTTCCACCAATATTCACCATGAGTCTGGCTACGTTACCTTTTGAAGCAGTGAACTCCGCGTGCCTCTCGAGGTGTCAACGGGATGTGAGGCATTCCGTCATAATGTCGCAGGGACCTAGGGCTTTCTCTAAGGTCTGCACAGGGGATTCAGACATCCCTTCATGTTGTGAGATGAAAGATGAGCCTCTATTCAAGCCACTGCAAGGAAACCCGGCCTCCTTTCAAGTTAGGGCTTCTCACTCTATATCCCACTTGAGGCAGCAAACTCGTTGCCCCTCCCACATACCTATTGCTGAACGAAGCCTCCCCTTGAGGTGCTTCTGGAAAGTTGGCATACGTCTTGAGCCTAAGCCAGGGAATCAGCTCTCATCTCGAGACGATTTGGGGTACACGGAGCATTCCTCGAGTTGCTGTGCTGAAGTTGGTGTTCCTCTAGACTTGGGACAGTGTTCTCGGGGCATCTCTGGAGTTGCCTGAAGGAAATCAAGCCACTGGTCGTGTTTATTGGGGAACGGGGGATGGCTCTGGTGTCAATGCAGGGGAATCGAGACTCATCTCGAGTTGATTTGGGGCACATGAAGCTGCTTTGCTTTGCAGGGGTGACGTCAGGGTCCGTCTAGACTTGTGACAGTGTTCTTGGAGACTTTCTCGAGATCCATTAAGCAATTTGAATCTCCTGCTTGTTTGATGGGGATCACGGAATTGCTCTGCCTGCACTGCACGGGAATCGGGCCTCATCTCGCATCTAGGGGGAAGTCTCATGGTTTTTCTCGAGTTGCGGCGGGGATATGCGGTATGTTCTCGAGTTACGGCAGGGATGGCCTTTCAAAACACATGTTTATTCAGTGACGTCAGGACTCCTGTCTAGTAACGTGGGACACCTCAGGAATCTCTTCGAGGCTTGGCAGGGCACAAGGGACTCTTCTCGAAGTGAGGAAGTGTACCCAAGGACACTTTCCAGTAGCCACAGGGATTTTGGGATTCCTATCAATATTCAAGAGGAGTCAGGCATCCTCACCTTTTGAAGCAGTGACCTCTGCGTGCCTCTCGAGGTGTCAACTTGATGTGAGGCATTCCGTCATAATGAGGCAGGGACCTAGGGCTTTCTCTAAGGTCTCCACAGGGGATTCAGACAGCCCTTCATGTTGGGAGATGAAAGACGAGCTGTATTCAAGGCACTTCAAGGAAACCCGGCCTCCTTTCAAGTTAGGGCTTCTCGCTGTATATCCCACTTGAGGCAGCAAACTCGGGGTCCCTACCACATACCTTTTGCTTAAAGAAGCCTTCCCTTGAGTTGCTTCTGGAAAGTTGGCATACGTCTTGAGCCTAAGCCAGGGAATCAGCTCTCATCTCGAGACGATTTGTGGTACATGGAGCATTCCTCGAGTTGCTGTGCTGAATTTGGTGTTCCTCTTGACTTGGGAGAGTGTTCTCGGGGCATTTCTGGAGGTGCCGGAAGGAAGTCAAGCCAATGGTCGTGTTGAATGGGGAATGGGGGATGGCTCTGGAGTCAATGCAGGGGAATCGGGCCTCATCTCGAGTTGATTTGGGGCACATGAAGCTGCTTTGCGTTGCAGGGATGACGTCAGGGTCCGTCTAGACTTGTGACAGTGTTCTTGGGGACTGTCTCGAGATCCATTAAGCAAGTCGAAGCTCCTGACTTGTTTGATGGGGATCACGGAATTGCCCTGCGTGCACTGCAGGGGAATCGGGCCTCATCTCGCATCTATGGGGAAATCTCATGGTTTTTCTCGAGTTGCGGCAGGGATCTGCGGTATGTTCTCGAGTTACGGCGGGGATGGCCCTTCAAAACACATTTTTATTCAGTGACGTCGGGACACCTGTCTAGTAACGTGGGACACCTCAGGAATCTCTTCGAGTCTTGGCAGGGCACAAGGGACACTTCTCGAGGTGAGGAAGGGCTCCCAAGGACACTTTCCAGTAGCCACAGGGATTTTGGGATTCCTATCAATATTCAAGAGAAGTCAGGCATCATCACCTTTTGAAGCAGTGAACTCTGCGTGCCTCTCGAGGTGTCAACGGGATGTGAGGCTTTCCGTCAAAATGCGGCAGGGACCTAGGGCTTTCTCTAAGGTCTCCACAGGGGATTCAGACATCCCTTCATGTTGGGAGATGAAAGACGAGCCTGTATTCAAGCCACTGCAAGGAAACCCGGCCTCCTTCAAGTTAGGTCTTCTCACTGTATATTCCACTTGAGGCAGCAAACTCGGGGTCCCTCCCACATACCTATTGTTGAGAGAAGCCTCCCCTTGAGGGGCTTCTGGAAAGTTGGCATACGTCTTGATCCTAAGCCAGGAAATCAGCTCTCATCTCGAGACGATTTGGGGTACACGGAGCATTCCTCGAGTTGCTGTGCTGAAGTTGGTGTTCCTCTAGACTTGGGACAGAGTTCTAGGGGCATCTCTGGAGTAGCCTGAAGGAAGTCAAGCCACTGGTGGTGTTGAATGGGGAATGGGGGATGGCTCTGGAGTCAATGCAGTGGAATCGGGCCTTACCTCGAGTTGATTTGGGGCAAATGGAGCTGCTCTGCGTTGCTGGGGTGACATCAGCGTCCGTCTAGAGTTGTGACAGTGTTCTAGGGGACTGTCTCGAGATCCTTTAAGCAAGTGGAAGCTCCTGACTTGTTTGATGGGGATCACGGAATAGCTCTGCATGCACTGCAGGGGAATGGGGCCTCATCTAGCCCCTAGGGGGAAGTCTCATGGTTTTTCTCGAGTTGCGGTGGGGACCTGGGATATGTTCTCAAGTTACGGCGGGGATGGCCCTTCAAAGCACGTGTTTATTCAGTGTCATCAGGACTCCTGTCTAGTAACGAGGGACACCTCAGGAATCTCTTCGAGGCTTGGCAGGGCTAAAGGGACGCTTCTCGAGGTGAGGCAGGGCACCCAAGGACCATTTCCAGTAGCCACAGGGATTTTGGGATTCCTATCAGTATTCAAGAGGAGTCAGGCATCGTCACCTTTTGAAGCAGTGAACTCCGCGTGCCTCTCGAGGTGTCAACAGGATGTGAGGCATTCCGTCAAAACGAGGCAGGGACCTAGGGCTTTCTCTAAGGTCTACACAGGGGATTCAGACATCCCTTTTTATTGTGAGATGAAGGACGAGCCTGTATTCAAGCCACTGCAAGGAAATCCAGCCTCCTTTCAAGTTAGGCCTTCTCGTTGTATATTCCACTTGAGGCAGCAAACTCGGGGTCTCTGCCACATACTGATTGCTGAGAGAAGCCTCCTCTTGAGGTGCTTCTGTAAAGTTGGCATACGTCTTGAGCCTAAGCCAGGGAATCAGCTCTCATCTCGAGACGATTTGGGGTACACGGAGCATTCCTCGAGTTGCTGTGCTGAAGTTGGTGTTCCTCTAGACTTGTGACAGTGTTCTCGGGGCATCTCTGGAGTTGCCTGAAGGAAGTCAAGCCTCTGGTGATGTTGAATGGGGAACGGTGGATGGCTCTGGAGTCAATGCAGCGGAATCGGGCCTCATCTCGTGTTGATTTGGGGCACATGGAGCTGCTCTGCTTTGCTGGAGTGACCTCAGGGTCCCTCTAGACTTGTGACTGTGTTCGTGGGGACTGTCTCAAGATCCATTAAGCAAGTCGAAGCTCCTGACCTGTTTGATGGGGATCACGGAATAGCTCTGCATGCACTGCAGGGGAATGGGGCCTCATCTCGCCTCTAGGGGGAAGTCTCATGGTTTTTCTCCAGTTTCGGCGGGGTCCTAGGGTATGTTCTTGAGTTAAGGCCGGGATGGCCCTTCAAAACACGTGTTTATTCAGTGACGTCAGGACTCCTGTCTGCTAACGAGGAACACCTCAGGGATCTCTTCGAGGCTTCGCAAGGCTAAAGGGACGCTTCTCGAGGTGAGGCAGGGCACCCAAGGACCCTTTCCAGTAGCCACAGGGATTTTGGGATTCCTATCATTATTCAAGAGGAGTCAGGCATCGTCACCTTTTGAAGCAGTGAACTCCGCATGCCTCTCGAGGTGTCAACGTGATGTGAGGCATTCCGACAAAATGAGGCAGGGACCTAGGGCTTTCTCTAAGTTCTCCACAGGGGATTAAGATCCCTTCCAGTTGTGAGATGAAAGACGATCTTGTATTCAAGCCACTGCCAGGAAATCCGACCTCCTTTAAAGTTTGGGCTTCTCGCTGTATATTCCACTTGAGGCAGCATACTCGGGGTCCCTCCCACATACCTATTGCTGAGAGAACCCTCCTCTTGAGTTGCTTCTGGAAAGTTGACATACGTCTTGATCCTAAGCCAGGGAATCAGCTCTCATCTCGAGACGATTTGGCGTACACGGAGCATTCCTCGAGTTGCTGTGCTGAAGTTGGTGTTCCTCAGACTTGGGACAGTGTTCTCGGAGCATCTCTGTAGTTGCTTGAAGGAAGTCAAGCCACTGGTGGTGTTGAATGGGGAATGGGGGATGGCTCTGGAGTCAATGCATGGGAATCGGGCCTCACCTCGACTTGATTTGGGGCACATGGAGCTGCTCTGCGTTGCTGTGGTGACCTCAGGGTCCGTGTAAACTTGTGATAGTGTTCTTGGGGACTGTCTCGAGATCCATTAAGCAAGTGGAAGCTTCTGACTTGTTTGATGGTTATCACGGAATAGCTCTGCATGCACTGCAGGTGAATGGGGCCTCATCTCGACTCTAGGGGGAAGTCTCATGGTTTTTCTTGAGTTGCGGCGGGGTCCTGGGGTGTGTTCTCGAGTTAAGGCGGGGATGGCCCTTCAAAGCACGTGTTTATTCAGTGACGTCAGGACTCCTGTCTAGTAACGAGTGACACCTCAGGAATCTCTTCGAGGCTTGGCAGGGCAAAGGGACGCTTCTCGAGGTGAGGCAGGGCACCCAAGGACACTTTCCAGTAGCCACAGGGATTTTGGGATTCCTATCAGTATTCAAGAGGAGTCAGGCATCGTCACCTTTTGAAGCAGTGAAATCCGCGTGCCTCTCGAGGTGTCAACGGGATGTGAGGCATTCCGTCAAAATGAGGCAGGGACCTAGGGCTTTCTCTAAGTTCTCCTCAGCGGAATCAGACGTCCCTTCCTGTTGTGAGATGAAAGACGAGCCTGTATTCAAGCCACTGCAAGGAAATCCGGCCTCCTTTCAAGTTAGGGTTTCTCCCTGTATATTCCACTTGAGGCAGCAAACTCGGGGTCCCTCCCTAATACCTATTGCTGAGAGAACCCTCCTGTTGAGTTGCTTCTGGAAAGTTTTCATACGTCTTGAGCCTAAGCCATGGAATCAGCTCTCATCTCGAGACAAATTGGAGTACACGGAGCATTCCTCAAGTTGCTGTCCTGAAGTTGGTGTTCCTCTAGACTTGGGATAGTGTTCTCGGGGCATGTCTGGAGTTGCCTGAAGGAATTCAAGCCACTGGTGGTATTGAATGGGGAACGGGGGATGGCTCTGGAGTCAATTCAGTGGAATCCGGCCTCATCTCCAGTTGATTTGGGGCACATGGATCTGCTCTGCTTTGCTGGGGTGACCTCAGGGTCTGTCTAGACTTGTGATAGTGTTCTTGGGGACTGTCTCGAGATCCATTAAGCAAGTCGAAGCTCCTGACATGTTTGATGGGGATCACGGAATAGCTCTGCATGCACTGCAGGGGAATGGGGCCTCATCACACCTCTAGGGGGAAGTCTCATGGTTTTTCTCAAGTTGCGGCGGGAACCTGGGGTATGTTCTCTACTTAGGGCGGGGATGGCCCTTCAAAACACATGTTTATTCAGTGACGTCAGGACTCCTGTCTAGTAACGAGGGACACCTCAGGAATCTCTTCGAGGCTTGGCAGGGCAAAAGGGACGCTTCTCGAGGTGAGGCAGGGGACGCACGGACCCTTTCCAGTAACCACAGGGATTTTCGGTTTCCTATCAGTATTCAAGAGGAGTCAGGCATCGTCACCTTTTGAAGCAGTGAACTCCGCGTGCCTCTCGAGGTGTCAACGGGATGTGAGGCATTCCGTCAAAATGAGGCAGGGACCTAGGGCTTTCTCTAAGGTCTACACAGGGGATTCAGACATCCCTTTCTATTGGGAGATGAAAGACGAGCCTGTATTCAAGCCACTGCAAGGAAATCCGGCCTCCTTTCAAGTTTGGCCTTCTCATTGTATATTCCACTTGAGGCAGCAAACTCGGGGTCTCTCCCACATACCGATTGCTGAGAGAAGCCTCCTCTTGAGGTGCTTATGGAAAGTTGGCATACGTCTTGAGCCTAAGAAAGGAAATCAGCTCTCATCTCGACACGATTTGGGGTACACGGAGCATTCCTCGAGTTGCTGTGTTGAAGTTGGTGTTCCTCTAGACTTGGGACAGTGTTCTCGGGGCATCTCTGGAGTTGCCTGTAGGAAGTCAAGCCACTGGTGATGTTGAATGGGGAACGGGGGATGGCTCTGGAGTCAATGCAGGGGAATCGGGCCTCATCTCGAGTTGATTTGGGGCACATGGAACTGCTCTGCGTTGCTGGGGTGACCTCAGGGTCCGTCTAGACTTGTGACAGTGTTCTTGGGGACTGTCTCGGGATCCATTAAGCAAGTCGGAGCTCCTGACTTGATTTATGGGGATCACGGAATTGCTCTGCATGCACTGCAGGGGAATCGGGCCTCATCTCACATCTAGGGGGAAGTCTCATGGTTTTTTTCGATTTGTGGCGGGGATATGCGGTATGTTCTCGAGTTACGGCGGGGATTGCCCTTCAAAACTCGTGTTTATTCAGTGACCTCAGGACTCCTGTGTAGTAACGAGGGACACTTCAGTAATCTCTTCGAGGACTGGAAGGGCACATGAGACGCTTCTCGATGTGAGGAAGGGCACCCAAGGACCCTTTCCAGTAGCTACAGGGATTTGGGGATTCCTATCAATATTCAAGAGTAGTCAGGCATCTTCACCTTTTGAAGCAGTGAACTCTGCGTGCCTCTCGAGTTGTCAACGGGATGTGAGGCTTTTCGTCAAAATGAGGCAGGGACCTAGGGCTTTCTCTAAGGTCTCCACAGGGGATTCAGACATCCCTTCATGTTGGGAGATGAAAGACGAGCTGTATTCAAGCCACTTCAAGGAAACCCGGCCTCCTTTCAAGTTAGGGCTTCTCTCTGTATATCCCACTTGAGGCAGCAAACTCGGGGTCCCTACCACATACCTTTTGCTTAAAGAAGCCTCCCCTTGAGGTGCTTCTGGAAAGTTGGCATACGTCTTGAGCCTAAGCCAGGGAATCAGCTCTCATCTCGAGACGATTTGGGGTACATGGAGCATTCCTCGAGTTGCTGTGCTGAAGTTGGTGTTCCTCTAGACTTGGGACAGTGTTCTCAGGGCATGTCTGGAGGTGACTGAAGGAAGTCAAGCCACTGGTCGTGTTGAATGGGGAACGGTTGATGGCTCTGGAGTCAATGGAGTGGAATCGGGCCTTACTCCGAGTTGATTTGTGGCACATGGAGCTTGTTTGGGTTGCTGTGGTAACCTCAGGGTCCATCTAGACTTGTGACAGTGTTCTTGGGGACTGTCTCGATATCCATTAAGGAATTCGAATCTCCAGTCTTGTTTGATGGGGATCACGGAATTGCTCTGCATGCAGTGCAGGGGAATCGAGGCTCATCTCGCATCTATGGGGAAGTCTCATGGTTTTTCTCGAGTTGTGGCAGGGATCTGCGGTATGTTCTCGAGTTACGGCGAGGATGGCCCTTCAAAACACATGTTTATTCAGTGACGTCAGGACTCCTGTCTAGTAACGTGGGACACCTCAGGAATCTTTTCGAGCCTTGACAGGGCAAAAGGGACTCTTCTCGAGGTGAGGAACGGCTCCCAAGGACCCTTTCCAGTAGCCACAGGGATTTTTGGATTCCTATCAATATTCAAGAGGAGTCAGGCATCGTCACCTTTTGAAGCGGTGAACTCTGATGCCTCTCGAGTTGTCAACGGGATGTGAGGCTTTTCGTCAAAATGAGGCAGGGACCTAGGGCTTTCTCTATGGTCTCCACAGGGGATTCAGACATCCCTTCATGTTGGGAGATGAAAGACGAGCTGTATTCAAGCCACTTCAAGGAAACCCGGCCTCCTTTCAAGTTAGGGCTTCTCTCTGTATATCCCACTTGAGGCAGCAAACTCGGGGTCCCTACCACATACCTTTTGCTTAAAGAAGCCTCCCCTTGAGGTCCTTCTGGAAAGTTGGCATACGTCTTGAGCCTAAGCCAGGGAATCAGCTCTCATCTCGAGACGATTTGGTGTACATGGAACATTCCTCGAGTTGCTGTGCTGAAGTTGGTGTTCCTCTAGACTTGGAACAGTGTTCTCGGGGCATGTCTGGAGGTGCCTGAAGGAAGTCAAGCCACTGGTCGTGTTGAATGGGGAACGGGTGATGGCTCTGGAGTCAATGGAGTGGAATCGGGCCTCACTTCGAGTTGATTTGTGGCACATGGAGCTAGTTTGGGTTGCTGTGGTAACCTCAGGGTCCATCTAGACTTGTGACAGTGTTGTTGGGGACTGTCTCGAGATCCATTAAGGAATTCGAATCTCCAGTCTTGTTTGATGGGGATCACGGAATTGCTCTGCATGCAGTGCAGGGGAATCGAGGCTCATCTCGCATCTATGGGGAAGTCTCATGGTTTTTCTCGAGTTGTGGCGGGGATCTGCGGTATGTTCTCGAGTTACGGCGGGGATGGCCCTTCAAAACACATGTTTATTCAGTGACGTCAGGACTCCTGTCTAGTAACGTGGGACACCTCAGGAATCTTTTCGAGCCTTGGCAGGGCAAAAGGGACTCTTCTCGAGGTGAGGAAGGGCTCCCAAGGACCCTTTCCAGTAGCCACAGTGATTTTTGGATTCCTATCAATATTCAAGAGGAGTCAGGCATCGTCACCTTTTGAAGCAGTGAACTCTGCGTGCCTCCCGAGGTGTCAACTTGATCTGAGGCATTCCGTCATATTGAGGCAGGGACCTAGGGCTATCTCTAAGGTCTCCACAGGGGATTCAGACATCCCTTCATGTTGGGAGATGAAAGACGAGCCTGTATTCAAGCCACTGCAAGGAAATCTGGCCTCCTTTCAAGTTAGGGTTTCTCGCTGTATATTCCACTTGAGGCAGCAAACTCGGGGTCCCTCCCACATACCTATTGCTGAGAGAAGCCTCCTCTTGAGGTGCTTCTGGAAAGTTGGCATACATCTTGAGCCTAAGCAAGGGAATCAGCTCTCATATCGAGACGATTTGGGGTACACGGAGGATTCCTCGAGTTGCTGTGGTGAAGTTGGTGTTCCTCTAGACTTGGGACAGTGTTCTCCGGGCATCTGTGGACTTGCCTGAAGGAAGTCAAGCCCCTGGTGGTGTTGAATGGGGAACGGGGGATGGCTCTGGAGTCAATTCAGTGTAATCCGGCCTCATCTCCAGTTGATTTGGGGCACATGGAGCTGCTCTGCGTTGCTGGGGTGACCTCAGATTCTGTCTAGACTTGTGACAGTGTTATGGGGGACTGTCTCGAGATCCATTAAGCAAGTGGAAGCTCGTGACTTGTTTGATGGGGATCACGGAATAGCTCTGCATGCACTGCAGGGGAATGGGGCCTCATCTCGCCTCTAGGGGGAAGTCTCATAGTTTTTCTCGAGTTGCGGCGGGAACCAGGGGTATGTTCTCGACTTACGGCGGGGATGGTCTTTCAAAACACGTGTTTATTCAGTGACGTCAGGACTCCTGTCTGCTAACGAGGGACACCTCAGGAATCTCTTCGAGGCTTGACAGGGCAAAAGGGACTTTCTCGAGGTGAGGCAGGGCACTCAAGGACCCTTTCCAGCAGCCACAGGGATTTTGTGATTCCTATCAGTATTCAAGAGGAGTCAGGACCGTCACATTTTGAAGCAGTGAACTCCGCGTGCCTCTCGAGGTGTCAACGGGATGTGAGGCATTCCGTCAAAATGAGGCAGGGACCTAGGGCTTTCTCTAAGTTCTCCACAGAGGAATCAGACCTCCCTTCCTGTTGTGAGATGAAAGACGAGCCTGTATTCAAGCCACTGCAAGGAAATCCGGCCTCCATTCAAGTTAGGGTTTCTCGCTGTATATTCCACTTGAGCCAGCAAACTCAGGGTCCCTCCCACATACCTATTGCTGAGAGAAGCCTCCTCCTGAGGGGCTTCTGGAAAGTTCGCATACGTCTTGAGCCTAAGCCAGGGAATCAGCTCTCATCTCGAGATGATTTGGGGTACACGGAACATTCCTCGAGTTGCTGTGGTGAAGTTGGTGTTCCTCTAGTCTTGGGACAGTGTTCTCGGGGCATCTCTGGACTTGCCTGTAGGAAGTCAAGCCACTGGTGATGTTGAATGGGGAACGGGGGATGGCTCTGGTGTCAATGCAGGGGAATCGGGCCTCATCTCGAGTTGATTTGGGGCACATGGAGCTGCTCTGCGTTGCTGGGGTGACCTCAGTGTCCGACTAGACTTGTGATTGTGTTCTTGGGGACAGTCTCGAGATCCATTAAGCAAGTCGAAGCTCCTGACTTGTTTGAATGGGATCACGGAATAGCTCTGCATGCACTGCAGGGGAATGGGGCCTCATCTCGCCTCTAGTGGGAAGTCTCATGGTTTTCCTCGATTTGCGGCTGGGTCCTGGGGTATGTTCTCGAGTTACGCCGGGGATGGCCTTCAAAACACTTGTTTATTCAGTAACGTCAGGACTCCTGTCTGCTAAAGAGGGACACCTCAGGAATCTCTTCGAGGCTTGGCAGGGCAAAAGGGATGCTTCTCGAGGTGAGGCAGGGCACTCAAGGACCCTTTCCAGCAGCGACTGGGATTTTGGGATTCCTATCAGTATTCAAGAGGAGTCAGGCATCGTCACCTTATGAAGCAGTGAACTCCGCGTGCCTCTCGAGGTGTCAACGGGATGTGAGGCATTCCGTCAAAATGAGGCAGGGACCTAGGGCTTTATCTAAGGTCTCCACAGGGGATTCAGCCATCAGTTCCTGTTGTGAGATGAAAGACGAGCCTGTATTCAAGCCACTGCAAGAAAACCCGGCCTCCTTTCAAGTTAGGGCTTCTCGCTGTAGATTCCCTTTGAGGCAGCATACTCGGGGTTCCTCCAACATACCTATTGCTGAGAGAAGCCTCCTCTTGAGGTGCTTCTGGAAAGTTGGCATACGTCTGGAGCATAAGCCAGGGAATCAGCTATCATCTCGAGACGATTTGGGGTACACGGAGTATTCCTCGAGTTGCTGTGCTGAAGTTGTTGTTCCTCTAGACTTGGGCCAGTGTTGTCGGGACAACTCTGGAGTTGCCTGAAGGAAGTCAAACCACTGGTGGTGTTGAATGGGGAATGGGGGATGGCTCTGGAGTCAATGCAGGGGAATCGGGACTCACCTCGAGTTGATTTGGGGCATATGGAGCTGCTCTGCGTTGCTGGGTTGACCTCAGGGTCCGCCTAGACTTGTGACAGTGTTCTTGGGGACTCTCTCGAGATCCATTAAGCAAGTCGAAGCTCCTGACTTGTTTGATGGGGATCACAGAATAGCTCTGCATGCATTGCAGGGGAATGGGGCCTCATCTCGCCTCTAGGGGGAAGTCTCATGGTTTTTCTCGAGTTGCGACGGGGACCTGGGGTATGTTCTCGAGTTACGGCGGGGATGGCCCTTCAAAACACGTGTTTATTCAGTGACATCAGGACTCCTGTCTAGTAACGAGGGACACGTCAGGAGTCTCTTCGAGGCTTGGCAGGGATAAAGGGACGCTTCTCGAGGTGGGGCAGGGAACCCAAGGACACTTTCCAGTAGCCACAGGGATTTTGCGATTCCTATCAGTATTCAAGAGGAGTCAGGCATCATCACCTTTTGAAGCAGTGAACTCCGCGTGCCTCTCAAGGTGTCAACGGGATTTGAGGCATTCCGTCAAAATGAGGCAGGGACCTAGGGCTTTCTCTAAGGTCTACACAGGGGATTCAGACATCCCTTTCTACTGTGAGATGAAGGACGAGCCTGTATTCAAGCCACTGCAAGGAAATCCGGCCTCCTTTCAAGTAAGGGCTTCTCGTTGTATATTCCACTTGAGGCAGCAAACTCGGGTCTATGCCACATACCGATTGCTGAGAGAAGCCTCCTCTTGAGGTGCTTCTGGAAAGTTGGCATACGTCTTGAGCCTAAGCCAGTGAATCAGCTCTCATCTCGAGACGATTTGGGGTACATGGAGCATTCCACGAGTTGCTGTCCTGAAGTTGGTGTTCCTCTAGACTTGGGACAGTGTTCTCGGGGCATCTCTAGAGTTGCCTGAAGGAAGTCAAGCCACTGGTGATGTTGAATGGGGAACGGTGGATGGCTCTGGAGTCAATGCAGGGGAATCGGGTCTCATCTTGAGTTGACTTGGGGCACATGGAGCTGCTCTGCGTTGCGGAGGTGACCTCAGGGTCCGTCTATAATAGTGACAGTGTTCTTGAGGACTGTCTCGAGATCCATTAAGCAAGTCGAAGCTCCTGACTTGTTTGATGGGGATCACGGAATATCTCTGAATGCACTGCAGGGGAATGGGGCCTCATCTCGCCTCTAGGGGGAAGTCTCATGGCTTTTCTCGAGTTGCGGCTGGGTCCTGGGGTATGTTCTTGATTTACGGCGGGGATGGCCCTTCAAAACACGTGTTTATTCAGTGACGTCAGGACTCCTGTCTGCTAACGAGGGACACCTCAGGAATCTCTTCGAGGCTTCGCAGGGCAAAAGGGTCACTTCTCGAGGTGAGGCAGGGCACTCAAGGACCCTTTCCAGGAGCCACAGGGATTTTGGGATTCCTATCAGTATTCAAGAGGAGTCAGGCAACATCACCTTTTGAAGCATTGAACTCTGCGTGCCTCTCGAGGTGTCAACAGGATGTGAGGCATTCCGTCAAAAGGAAGCAGGGACCTAGGGCTTTCTCTAAGGTCTCCACAGGAGATTCAGCAATCCCTTCCTGTTGTGAGATGAAAGACGAGCCTGTATTCAAGCCACTGCGAGGATATCCGGCCTCCTTTCAAGTTAGGGCTTCTCGCTTTATATTCCAATTGAGGGAGCAAACTCGGGGTCCCTCCTACATACCTATTGCTGAGAGAAGCCTCCTCTTGAGGTGCTTCTGGAAAGTTGGCATACATCTTGAGCCTAAGCCAAGGAATCAGCTCTCATCTCGAGACGATTTGGGGTACACGGAGCATTCCTCAAGTTGCTGTCCTGAAGTTGGTGTTCCTCTAGACTTGGGACAGTGTTCTTGTGGCATCTCTGGAGTTGCCTGAAGGAAGTCAAGCCACTGGTGGTGTTGAATGGATAACGGAGATGGCTTTGGAGTCAATGCAGGGGAATCGGGTCTCATCTCGAGTTGATTTGGGGCAAATGGAGCTGCTCTGCGTTGCGGAGGTGACCTCAGGGTCCGTCTATAATAGTGACAGTGTTCTTGAGGACTGTCTCGAGATCCATTAAGCAAGTCGAAGCTCCTGACTTGTTTGAAGGGGATCACGGAATAGCTCTGCATGCACTGCAGGGGAATGGGGCCTCATCTCGCCTCTAGGGTGAAGTCTCATGGTTATTCTCGAGTTGCGGCAGGGACCTGGGGTATGTTCTCGAGTTACGGCGGGGATGGCCCTTCAAAACTCATGTTTATTCAGTGACATCAGGACTCCTGTCTAGTAACGAGGGACACCTCAGAAATCTCTTCGAGGCTTGGCAGCGCAAAAGGGACGCTTCTCGAGGTGAGGCAGGGCATGCAAGGACCGTTTCCAGTAGACACAGGGATTTTGGGATTCCTATCAGTATTCAAGAGGAGTCAGGCATCGTCACCTTTTGAAGCAATGAACTCTGCGTGCCTCTCGAGTTGTCAGCAGGATGTGAGGCATTCCGTCAAAATGAGGCAGGGACCTAGGGCTTTCTCTAAGCTCTCCACAGGGAATCAGACCTCCCTTCCTGTTGTGAGATGAAAGACGAGCCTGTATTCAAGCCACTGCAAGGAAATCCGGCCTCCTTTCAAGTTAGGGTTTCTCGCTGTATATTCCATTTGAGGCAGCAAACTCGGGGTCCCTCCCACATACCTATTGCTGAGAGAAGACTCCTCTTGAGGTGCTTCTGGAAAGTTAGCATATGTCTTGAGCCTAAGCCAGGGAATCAGCTCTCATCTCGAGACGATTTGGGGTACACGGAGCATTCCTCGAGTTGCTGTGCTGAAGTTGGTGTTCCTCTAGACTTGGGACAGTGTTCTCGGGGCATCTCTGGAGTTGCCTGAAGGAGTCAAGCCACTGGTGGTGTTGAATTGGGAATGGGGGATGGCTCTGGAGTCAATTCAGGGGAATCGGGCCTCACCTCGAATTCATTTGGGGCACATGGAGCTGCTCTGCGTTGCTGGGGTGACCTCAGGGTCCGTCTAGACTAGTGACAGTGTCCTTAGGGACTGTCTCGAGATCCATTAAGCAAGTGGAAGCTCCTGAATTGTATGATGGGGATCACGGAATAGCTCTGCATGCACTGCAGGGGAATGGGGCCTCATCTCGCCTCTAGGGGGAAGTCTCATGGTTTTTCTCGAGTTGCGGCGGGAACCTAGGTTATGTTCTCGAGTTACGGCGGAGATGGCCCTTCAAAACACATGTTTATTCAGTGACGTCAGGCCTCCTGTCTAGTAACGAGGGACACCTCAGGAATCTCTTCGAGGCTTGGCAGGGCAAAAGGGACGCTTCTCGAGGTGAGTCAGGGCAGCCAAGGACACTTTCCAGTAGCCACAGGGATTTTGGGATTCCTATCAGGATACAAGAGGAGTGAGGCATCGTCACCTTTTGAAGCAGTGAAATCCGCGTGCCTCTCGAGGTGTCAACGGGATGTGAGGCATTCCGTCACAATGAGGCAGGGACCTAGGGCTTTCTCTAAGGTCTCCACAGGGGAATCAGAACTCCCTTCCTGTTGTGAGATGAAAGACAAGCCTGTATTCAAGCCAATGCAGGGAAATCCGGCCTCCTTTCAAGTTAGGGTTTCTCGCTGTATATTCCACTTGAGGCAGCAACCTCGGGGGCCCTCCCACATACCGATTGCTGAGAGAACCCTCCTCTTGAGTTGCTTCTGGAAAGTTGGCATACGTCTTGAGCCTAAGCCACGGAATCAACTCTCATCTCGAGACTATTTGGGGTACACGGAGCATTCCTCAAGATGCTGTCCTGAAGTTGGTGTTCCTCTAGACTTGGGACAGTGTTCTCGGGGCATGTCTGGAGTTGCCTGAAGGAAGTCAAGCCAGTGGTGGTGTTGAATGGGGAAGGGGGATGGCTCTGGAGTCAATGCAGTGGAATCGGGCCTAATCTCGAGTTGATTTGGGGCACATGGTGCTGCCCTGAGTTGCTGGGGTGACCTCAGGGTCCATCTAGAATAGTGACAGTGTTCTTGAGGACTGTCTCGAGATCCATTAAGCAAGTCGAAGCTCCTGACTTGTTTGATGGGGATCACGGAAGAGCTCTATATGCACTGCAGGGGAATGGGGCCTCATCTCACCTCTAGGGCGAAGTCTCATGGTTTTTCTCGAGTTGCGGCGGGGACCTGCGGTATGTTCTCGAGTTATGGCGGGGATGGCCCTTCAAAACACGTGTTTACTCAGTGACGTCAGGACTCATGTCTAGTAACAAGGGACACCTCAGGAGTCTCTTCGAGTCTTGGCAGGGCAAAAGGGACGATTCTCGAGGTGAGGCAGGGAATGCAAGTACCCTTTCCAGTAGCCACAGGGATTTTGGGATTCCTATCAGTATTCAAGAGGAGTCAGGCATCGTCATCTTTTGAAGCAGTGAACTGCGCGTGCCTCTCGAGTTGTCAACGGGATGTGAGGCATTCTGTCAAAATGAGGCAGGGACCTAGAGCTTTCTCTAAGGTCTACACGGGGGAATCAGACCTCCCTTCCTGTTGTGAGATGAAAGACGAGCTTGTATTCAAGCCACTGCAAGGAAATCCGGCCTCCTTTCAAGTTAGGGTTTCTCGGTGTATATTCCACTTGAGGCAGCAAACTCGGGGTCCCTCCCACATACCTATTGCTGAGAGAAGCCTCCTCTTGAGGTGCTTCTGGAAAGTTGGCATACGTCTTGAGCTTAAGCCAGGGAATCAGCTCTCACCTCGAGTTGATTTGGGGCACATGGAGCTGCTCTGCATTGCTGGGGTGACCTCAGGGTCTGTCTAGACTTGTGACAGTGTTCTTGGGGACTGTGTCGAGATCCATTAAGCAAGTGGAAGCTCCTGACTTGTTTGATGGGGATCAAGGAATAGCTCTGCATGCACTGCAGGGGAATGGGGCCTCATCTCGCCTCTAGGGGGAAGTCTCATCGTTTTTATCGAGTTGCGGCGGGAACCTGGGTTATGTTCTCGAGTTACGGCGGGGATGGCCCTTCAAAACACGTGTTTATTCAGTGACTTCAGGACTCATGTCTGCTAAAGAGGGACACCTCAGGAATCTCTTCGAGGCTTGGCAGGGCAAAAGGGACGTTCTCGTGGTGAGGCAGGGCACTCAAGGACCCTTTCCAGCAGCCACAGGGAATTTGGGATTCCTACCAGTATTCAAGAGGAGTCAGGACCGTCACATTTTGAAGCAGTGAACTCCGCGTGCCTCTCGAGGTGTCAACGGGATGTGAGGCATTCCGTCAAAATGAGGCAGGGATTAGGGCTTTATCTAAGGTCTCCACAGGGGATTCAGTCATCCCTTCCTGTTGTGAGATGAAAGACGAGCCTGTATTCAAGCCACTGCAAGGAAATCCGGCCTCCTTTCAAGTTTGGCCTTCTCATTGTATATTCCACTTGAGGCAGCAAACTCGGGGTCTCTCCCACATACCGATTGCTGAGAGAAGCCTCCTCTTGAGGTGCTTATGGAAAGTTGGCATACGTCTTGAGCCTAAGAAAGGAAATCAGCTCTCATCTCGACACGATTTGGGGTACACGGAGCATTCCTCGAGTTGCTGTGTTGAAGTTGGTGTTCCTCTAGACTTGGGACAGTGTTCTCGGGGCATCTCTGGAGTTGCCTGTAGGAAGTCAAGCCACTGGTGATGTTGAATGGGGAACGGGGGATGGCTCTGGAGTCAATGCAGGGGAATCGGGCCTCATCTCGAGTTGATTTGGGGCACATGGAACTGCTCTGCGTTGCTGGGGTGACCTCAGGGTCCGTCTAGACTTGTGACAGTGTTCTTGGGGACTGTCTCGGGATCCATTAAGCAAGTCGGAGCTCCTGACTTGATTTATGAGGATCACGGAATTGCTCTGCATGCACTGCAGGGGAATCGGGCCTCATCTCACATCTAGGGGGAAGTCTCATGGTTTTTTTCGATTTGCGGCGGGGATATGCGGTATGTTCTCGAGTTACGGCGGGGATTGCCCTTCAAAACTCGTGTTTATTCAGTGACCTCAGGACTCCTGTCTAGTAACGAGGGACACTTCAGTAATCTCTTCGAGGACTGGAAGGGCACATGAGACGCTTCTCGATGTGAGGAAGGGCACCCAAGGACCCTTTCCAGTAGCTACAGGGATTTGGGGATTCCTATCAATATTCAAGAGTAGTCAGGCATCTTCACCTTTTGAAGCAGTGAACTCTGCGTGCCTCTCGAGTTGTCAACGGGATGTGAGGCTTTTCGTCAAAATGAGGCAGGGACCTAGGGCTTTCTCTAAGGTCTCCACAGGGGATTCAGACATCCCTTCATGTTGGGAGATGAAAGACGAGCTGTATTCAAGCCACTTCAAGGAAACCCGGCCTCCTTTCAAGTTAGGGCTTCTCTCTGTATATCCCACTTGAGGCAGCAAACTCGGGGTCCCTACCACATACCTTTTGCTTAAAGAAGCCTCCCCTTGAGGTGCTTCTGGAAAGTTGGCATACGTCTTGAGCCTAAGCCAGGGAATCAGCTCTCATCTCGAGACGATTTGGGGTACATGGAGCATTCCTCGAGTTGCTGTGCTGAAGTTGGTGTTCCTCTAGACTTGGGACAGTGTTCTCAGGGCATGTCTGGAGGTGCCTGAAGGAAGTCAAGCCACTGGTCGTGTTGAATGGGGAACGGTTGATGGCTCTGGAGTCAATGGAGTGGAATCGGGCCTTAGTCCGAGTTGATTTGTGGCACATGGAGCTTGTTTGGGTTGCTGTGGTAACCTCAGGGTCCATCTAGACTTGTGACAGTGTTCTTGGGGACTGTCTCGAGATCCATTAAGGAATTCGAATCTCCAGTCTTGTTTGATGGGGATCACGGAATTGCTCTGCATGCAGTGCAGGGGAATCGAGGCTCATCTCGCATCTATGGGGAAGTCTCATGGTTTTTCTCGAGTTGTGGCAGGGATCTGCGGTATGTTCTCGAGTTACGGCGAGGATGGCCCTTCAAAACACATGTTTATTCAGTGACGTCAGGACTCCTGTCTAGTAACGTGGGACACCTCAGGAATCTTTTCGAGCCTTGGCAGGGCAAAAGGGACTCTTCTCGAGGTGAGGAAGGGCTCCCAAGGACCCCTTCCAGTAGCCACAGTGATTTTTGGATTCCTATCAATATTCAAGAGGAGTCAGGCATCGTCACCTTTTGAAGCAGTGAACTCTGCGTGCCTCCCGAGGTGTCAACTTGATCTGAGGCATTCCGTCATATTGAGGCAGGGACCTAGGGCTATCTCTAAGGTCTCCACAGGGGATTCAGACATCCCTTCATGTTGGGAGATGAAAGACGAGCCTGTATTCAAGCCACTGCAAGGAAATCTGGCCTCCTTTCAAGTTAGGGTTTCTCGCTGTATATTCCACTTGAGGCAGCAAACTCGGGGTCCCTCCCACATACCTATTGCTGAGAGAAGCCTCCTCTTGAGGTGCTTCTGGAAAGTTGGCATACATCTTGAGCCTAAGCCAGGGAATCAGCTCTCATCTCGAGACGATTTGGGGTACACGGAGGATTCCTCGAGTTGCTGTGGTGAAGTTGGTGTTCCTCTAGACTTGGGACAGTGTTCTCGGGGCATCTGTGGACTTGCCTGAAGGAAGTCAAGCCCCTGGTGGTGTTGAATGGGGAACGGGGGATGGCTCTGGAGTCAATTCAGTGTAATCTGGCTTCATCTCCAGTTGATTTGGGGCACATGGAGCTGCTCTGCGTTGCTGGGGTGACGTCAGATTCTGTCTAGACTTGTGACAGTGTTATGGGGGACTGTCTCGAGATCCATTAAGCAAGTGGAAGCTCGTGACTTGTTTGATGGGGATCACGGAATAGCTCTGCATGCACTGCAGGGGAATGGGGCCTCATCTCGCCTCTAGGGGGAAGTCTCATAGTTTTTCTCGAGTTGCGGCGGGAACCTGGGGTATGTTCTCGACTTACGGCGGGGATGGTCTTTCAAAACACGTGTTTATTCAGTGACGTCAGGACTCCTGTCTGCTAACGAGGGACACCTCAGGAATCTCTTCGAGGCTTGACAGGGCAAAAGGGACTTTCTCGAGGTGAGGCAGGGCACTCAAGGACCCTTTCCAGCAGCCACAGGGATTTTGTGATTCCTATCAGTATTCAAGAGGAGTCAGGACCGTCACATTTTGAAGCAGTGAACTCCGCGTGCCTCTCGAGGTGTCAACGGGATGTGAGGCATTCCGTCAAAATGAGGCAGGGACCTAGGGCTTTCTCTAAGTTCTCCACAGGGGAATCAGACGTCCCTTCCTGTTGTGAGATGAAAGACGAGCCTGTATTCAAGCCACTGCAAGGAAATCCGGCCTCCATTCAAGTTAGGGTTTCTCGCTGTATATTCCACTTGAGCCAGCAAACTCAGGGTCCCTCCCACATACCTATTGCTGAGAGAAGCCTCCTCCTGAGGGGCTTCTGGAAAGTTCGCATACGTCTTGAGCCTAAGCCAGGGAATCAGCTCTCATCTCGAGATGATTTGGGGTACACGGAACATTCCTCGAGTTGCTGTGGTGAAGTTGGTGTTCCTCTAGTCTTGGGACAGTGTTCTCGGGGCATCTCTGGACTTGACTGTAGGAAGTCAAGCCACTGGTGATGTTGAATGGGGAACGGGGGATGGCTCTGGTGTCAATGCAGGGGAATCGGGCCTCATCTCGAGTTGATTTGGGGCACATGGAGCTGCTCTGCGATGCTGGGGTGACCTCAGTGTCCGACTAGACTTGTGATTGTGTTCTTGGGGACAGTCTCGAGATCCATTAAGCAAGTCGAAGCTCCTGACTTGTTTGAATGGGATCACGGAATAGCTCTGCATGCACTGCAGGGGAATGGGGCCTCATCTCGCCTCTAGTGGGAAGTCTCATGGTTTTCCTCGAGTTGCGGCTGGGTCCTGGGGTATATTCTTGAGTTACGCCGGGGATGGCCTTCAAAACACTTGTTTATTCAGTAACGTCAGGACTCCTGTCTGCTAACGAGGGACACCTCAGGAATCTCTTCGAGGCTTGGCAGGGCAAAAGGGATGCTTCTCGAGGTGAGGCAGGGCACTCAAGGACCCTTTCCAGCAGCGACTGGGATTTTGGGATTCCTATCAGTATTCAAGAGGAGTCAGGCATCGTCACCTTATGAAGCAGTGAACTCCGCGTGCCTCTCGAGGTGTCAACGGGATGTGAGGCATTCCGTCAAAATGAGGCAGGGACCTAGGGCTTTATCTAAGGTCTCCACAGGGGATTCAGCCATCAGTTCCTGTTGTGAGATGAAAGACGAGCCTGTATTCAAGCCACTGCAAGAAAACCCGGCCTCCTTTCAAGTAAGGGCTTCTCGTTGTATATTCCACTTGAGGCAGCAAACTCGGGTCTATGCCACATACCGATTGCTGAGAGAAGCCTCCTCTTGAGGTGCTTCTGGAAAGTTGGCATACGTCTTGAGCCTAAGCCAGTGAATCAGCTCTCATCTCGAGACGATTTGGGGTACATGGAGCATTCCACGAGTTGCTGTCCTGAAGTTGGTGTTCCTCTAGACTTGGGACAGTGTTCTCGGGGCATCTCTAGAGTTGCCTGAAGGAAGTCAAGCCACTGGTGATGTTGAATGGGGAACGGTGGATGGCTCTGGAGTCAATGCAGGGGAATCGGGTCTCATCTTGAGTTGACTTGGGGCACATGGAGCTGCTCTGCGTTGCGGAGGTGACCTCAGGGTCCGTCTATAATAGTGACAGTGTTCTTGAGGACTGTCTCGAGATCCATTAAGCAAGTCGAAGCTCCTGACTTGTTTGATGGGGATCACGGAATATCTCTGAATGCACTGCAGGGGAATGGGGCCTCATCTCGCCTCTAGGGGGAAGTCTCATGGCTTTTCTCGAGTTGCGGCTGGGTCCTGGGGTATGTTCTTGATTTACGGCGGGGATGACCCTTCAAAACACGTGTTTATTCAGTGACGTCAGGACTCCTGTCTGCTAACGAGGGACACCTCAGGAATCTCTTCGAGGCTTCGCAGGGCAAAAGGGTCACTTCTCGAGGTGAGGCAGGGCACTCAAGGACCCTTTCCAGGAGCCACAGGGATTTTGGGATTCCTATCAGTATTCAAGAGGAGTCAGGCAACATCACCTTTTGAAGCATTGAACTCCGCGTGCCTCTCGAGGTGTCAACAGGATGTGAGGCATTCCGTCAAAAGGAAGCAGGGACCTAGGGCTTTCTCTAAGGTCTCCACAGGAGATTCAGCAATCCCTTCCTGTTGTGAGATGAAAGACGAGCCTGTATTCAAGCCACTGCGAGGATATCCGGCCTCCTTTCAAGTTAGGGCTTCTCGCTTTATATTCCAATTGAGGGAGCAAACTCGGGGTCCCTCCTACATACCTATTGCTGAGAGAAGCCTCCTCTTGAGGTGCTTCTGGAAAGTTGGCATACATCTTGAGCCTAAGCCAAGGAATCAGCTCTCATCTCGAGACGATTTGGGGTACACGGAGCATTCCTCAAGTTGCTGTCCTGAAGTTGGTGTTCCTCTAGACTTGGGACAGTGTTCTTGTGGCATCTCTGGAGTTGCCTGAAGGAAGTCAAGCCACTGGTGGTGTTGAATGGATAACGGAGATGGCTTTGGAGTCAATGAAGGGAAATCGGGTCTCATCTCGAGTTGATTTGGGGCAAATGGAGCTGCTCTGCGTTGCGGAGGTGACCTCAGGGTCCGTCTATAATAGTGACAGTGTTCTTGAGGACTGTCTCGAGATCCATTAAGCAAGTCGAAGCTCCTGACTTGTTTGAATGGGATCACGGAATAGCTCTGCATGCACTGCAGGGGAATGGGGCCTCATCTCGCCTCTAGTGGGAAGTCTCATGGTTTTCCTCGAGTTGCGGCTGGGTCCTGGGGTATATTCTTGAGTTACGCCGGGGATGGCCTTCAAAACACTTGTTTATTCAGTAACGTCAGGACTCCTGTCTGCTAACGAGGGACACCTCAGGAATCTCTTCGAGGCTTGGCAGGGCAAAAGGGATGCTTCTCGAGGTGAGGCAGGGCACTCAAGGACCCTTTCCAGCAGCGACTGGGATTTTGGGATTCCTATCAGTATTCAAGAGGAGTCAGGCATCGTCACCTTATGAAGCAGTGAACTCCGCGTGCCTCTCGAGGTGTCAACGGGATGTGAGGCATTCCGTCAAAATGAGGCAGGGACCTAGGGCTTTATCTAAGGTCTCCACAGGGGATTCAGCCATCAGTTCCTGTTGTGAGATGAAAGACGAGCCTGTATTCAAGCCACTGCAAGAAAACCCGGCCTCCTTTCAAGTTAGGGCTTCTCGCTGTAGATTCCCTTTGAGGCAGCATACTCGGGGTTCCTCCAACATACCTATTGCTGAGAGAAGCCTCCTCTTGAGGTGCTTCTGGAAAGTTGGCATACGTCTGGAGCATAAGCCAGGGAATCAGCTATCATCTCGAGACGATTTGGGGTACACGGAGTATTCCTCGAGTTGCTGTGCTGAAGTTGTTGTTCCTCTAGACTTGGGCCAGTGTTGTCGGGACAACTCTGGAGTTGCCTGAAGGAAGTCAAACCACTGGTGGTGTTGAATGGGGAATGGGGGATGGCTCTGGAGTCAATGCAGGGGAATCGGGACTCACCTCGAGTTGATTTGGGGCATATGGAGCTGCTCTGCGTTGCTGGGTTGACCTCAGGGTCCGCCTAGACTTGTGACAGTGTTCTTGGGGACTGTCTCGAGATCCATTAAGCAAGTCGAAGCTCCTGACTTGTTTGATGGGGATCACAGAATAGCTCTGCATGCATTGCAGGGGAATGGGGCCTCATCTCGCCTCTAGGGGGAAGTCTCATGGTTTTTCTCGAGTTGCGACGGGGACCTGGGGTATGTTCTCGAGTTACGGCGGGGATGGCCCTTCAAAACACGTGTTTATTCAGTGACATCAGGACTCCTGTCTAGTAACGAGGGACACGTCAGGAGTCTCTTCGAGGCTTGGCAGGGATAAAGGGACGCTTCTCGAGGTGGGGCAGGGAACCCAAGGACACTTTCCAGTAGCCACAGGGATTTTGCGATTCCTATCAGTATTCAAGAGGAGTCAGGCATCATCACCTTTTGAAGCAGTGAACTCCGCGTGCCTCTCAAGGTGTCAACGGGATTTGAGGCATTCCGTCAAAATGAGGCAGGGACCTAGGGCTTTCTCTAAGGTCTACACAGGGGATTCAGACATCCCTTTCTACTGTGAGATGAAGGACGAGCCTGTATTCAAGCCACTGCAAGGAAATCCGGCCTCCTTTCAAGTAAGGGCTTCTCGTTGTATATTCCACTTGAGGCAGCAAACTCGGGTCTATGCCACATACCGATTGCTGAGAGAAGCCTCCTCTTGAGGTGCTTCTGGAAAGTTGGCATACGTCTTGAGCCTAAGCCAGTGAATCAGCTCTCATCTCGAGACGATTTGGGGTACATGGAGCATTCCACGAGTTGCTGTCCTGAAGTTGGTGTTCCTCTAGACTTGGGACAGTGTTCTCGGGGCATCTCTAGAGTTGCCTGAAGGAAGTCAAGCCACTGGTGATGTTGAATGGGGAACGGTGGATGGCTCTGGAGTCAATGCAGGGGAATCGGGTCTCATCTTGAGTTGACTTGGGGCACATGGAGCTGCTCTGCGTTGCGGAGGTGACCTCAGGGTCCGTCTATAATAGTGACAGTGTTCTTGAGGACTGTCTCGAGATCCATTAAGCAAGTCGAAGCTCCTGACTTGTTTGATGGGGATCACGGAATATCTCTGAATGCACTGCAGGGGAATGGGGCCTCATCTCGCCTCTAGGGGGAAGTCTCATGGCTTTTCTCGAGTTGCGGCTGGGTCCTGGGGTATGTTCTTGATTTACGGCGGGGATGGCCCTTCAAAACACGTGTTTATTCAGTGACGTCAGGACTCCTGTCTGCTAACGAGGGACACCTCAGGAATCTCTTCGAGGCTTCGCAGGGCAAAAGGGTCACTTCTCGAGGTGAGGCAGGGCACTCAAGGACCCTTTCCAGGAGCCACAGGGATTTTGGGATTCCTATCAGTATTCAAGAGGAGTCAGGCAACATCACCTTTTGAAGCATTGAACTCCGCGTGCCTCTCGAGGTGTCAACAGGATGTGAGGCATTCCGTCAAAAGGAAGCAGGGACCTAGGGCTTTCTCTAAGGTCTCCACAGGAGATTCAGCAATCCCTTCCTGTTGTGAGATGAAAGACGAGCCTGTATTCAAGCCACTGCGAGGATATCCGGCCTCCTTTCAAGTTAGGGCTTCTCGCTTTATATTCCAATTGAGGGAGCAAACTCGGGGTCCCTCCTACATACCTATTGCTGAGAGAAGCCTCCTCTTGAGGTGCTTCTGGAAAGTTGGCATACATCTTGAGCCTAAGCCAAGGAATCAGCTCTCATCTCGAGACGATTTGGGGTACACGGAGCATTCCTCAAGTTGCTGTCCTGAAGTTGGTGTTCCTCTAGACTTGGGACAGTGTTCTTGTGGCATCTCTGGAGTTGCCTGAAGGAAGTCAAGCCACTGGTGGTGTTGAATGGATAACGGAGATGGCTTTGGAGTCAATGCAGGGGAATCGGGTCTCATCTCGAGTTGATTTGGGGCAAATGGAGCTGCTCTGCGTTGCGGAGGTGACCTCAGGGTCCGTCTATAATAGTGACAGTGTTCTTGAGGACTGTCTCGAGATCCATTAAGCAAGTCGAAGCTCCTGACTTGTTTGAAGGGGATCACGGAATAGCTCTGCATGCACTGCAGGGGAATGGGGCCTCATCTCGCCTCTAGGGTGAAGTCTCATGGTTATTCTCGAGTTGCGGCAGGGACCTGGGGTATGTTCTCGAGTTACGGCGGGGATGGCCCTTCAAAACTCATGTTTATTCAGTGACATCAGGACTCCTGTCTAGTAACGAGGGACACCTCAGAAATCTCTTCGAGGCTTGGCAGCGCAAAAGGGACGCTTCTCGAGGTGAGGCAGGGCATGCAAGGACCGTTTCCAGTAGACACAGGGATTTTGGGATTCCTATCAGTATTCAAGAGGAGTCAGGCATCGTCACCTTTTGAAGCAATGAACTCTGCGTGCCTCTCGAGTTGTCAGCAGGATGTGAGGCATTCCGTCAAAATGAGGCAGGGACCTAGGGCTTTCTCTAAGCTCTCCACAGGGAATCAGACCTCCCTTCCTGTTGTGAGATGAAAGACGAGCCTGTATTCAAGCCACTGCAAGGAAATCTGGCCTCCTTTCAAGTTAGGGTTTCTCGCTGTATATTCCATTTGAGGCAGCAAACTCGGGGTCCCTCCCACATACCTATTGCTGAGAGAAGACTCCTCTTGAGGTGCTTCTGGAAAGTTAGCATATGTCTTGAGCCTAAGCCAGGGAATCAGCTCTCATCTCGAGACGATTTGGGGTACACGGAGCATTCCTCGAGTTGCTGTGCTGAAGTTGGTGTTCCTCTAGACTTGGGACAGTGTTCTCGGGGCATCTCTGGAGTTGCCTGAAGGAGTCAAGCCACTGGTGGTGTTGAATTGGGAATGGGGGATGGCTCTGGAGTCAATGCAGGGGAATCGGGCCTCACCTCGAATTCATTTGGGGTACATGGAGCTGCTCTGCGTTGCTGGGGTGACCTCAGGGTCCGTCTAGACTAGTGACAGTGTCCTTAGGGACTGTCTCGAGATCCATTAAGCAAGTGGAAGCTCCTGAATTGTATGATGGGGATCACGGAATAGCTCTGCATGCACTGCAGGGGAATGGGGCCTCATCTCGCCTCTAGGGGGAAGTCTCATGGTTTTTCTCGAGTTGCGGCGGGAACCTAGGTTATGTTCTCGAGTTACGGCGGAGATGGCCCTTCAAAACACATGTTTATTCAGTGACGTCAGGCCTCCTGTCTAGTAACGAGGGACACCTCAGGAATCTCTTCGAGGCTTGGCAGGGCAAAAGGGACGCTTCTCGAGGTGAGTCAGGGCAGCCAAGGACACTTTCCAGTAGCCACAGGGATTTTGGGATTCCTATCAGGATACAAGAGGAGTGAGGCATCGTCACCTTTTGAAGCAGTGAAATCCGCGTGCCTCTCGAGGTGTCAACGGGATGTGAGGCATTCCGTCACAATGAGGCAGGGACCTAGGGCTTTCTCTAAGGTCTCCACAGGGGAATCAGAACTCCCTTCCTGTTGTGAGATGAAAGACAAGCCTGTATTCAAGCCAATGCAGGGAAATCCGGCCTCCTTTCAAGTTAGGGTTTCTCGCTGTATATTCCACTTGAGGCAGCAACCTCGGGGGCCCTCCCACATACCGATTGCTGAGAGAACCCTCCTCTTGAGTTGCTTCTGGAAAGTTGGCATACGTCTTGAGCCTAAGCCACGGAATCAACTCTCATCTCGAGACTATTTGGGGTACACGGAGCATTCCTCAAGATGCTGTCCTGAAGTTGGTGTTCCTCTAGACTTGGGACAGTGTTCTCGGGGCATGTCTGGAGTTGCCTGAAGGAAGTCAAGCCAGTGGTGGTGTTGAATGGGGAAGGGGGATGGCTCTGGAGTCAATGCAGTGGAATCGGGCCTAATCTCGAGTTGATTTGGGGCACATGGTGCTGCCCTGAGTTGCTGGGGTGACCTCAGGGTCCATCTAGAATAGTGACAGTGTTCTTGAGGACTGTCTCGAGATCCATTAAGCAAGTCGAAGCTCCTGACTTGTTTGATGGGGATCACGGAATAGCTCTATATGCACTGCAGGGGAATGGGGCCTCATCTCACCTCTAGGGCGAAGTCTCATGGTTTTTCTCGAGTTGCGGCGGGGACCTGCGGTATGTTCTCGAGTTATGGCGGGGATGGCCCTTCAAAACACGTGTTTACTCAGTGACGTCAGGACTCATGTCTAGTAACAAGGGACACCTCAGGAGTCTCTTCGAGTCTTGGCAGGGCAAAAGGGACGATTCTCGAGGTGAGGCAGGGAATGCAAGTACCCTTTCCAGTAGCCACAGGGATTTTGGGATTCCTATCAGTATTCAAGAGGAGTCAGGCATCGTCATCTTTTGAAGCAGTGAACTGCGCGTGCCTCTCGAGTTGTCAACGGGATGTGAGGCATTCTGTCAAAATGAGGCAGGGACCTAGAGCTTTCTCTAAGGTCTACACGGGGGGATCAGACCTCCCTTCCTGTTGTGAGATGAAAGACGAGCTTGTATTCAAGCCACTGCAAGGAAATCCGGCCTCCTTTCAAGTTAGGGTTTCTCGGTGTATATTCCACTTGAGGCAGCAAACTCGGGGTCCCTCCCACATACCTATTGCTGAGAGAAGCCTCCTCTTGAGGTGCTTCTGGAAAGTTGGCATACGTCTTGAGCTTAAGCCAGGGAATCAGCTCTCACCTCGAGTTGATTTGGGGCACATGGAGCTGCTCTGCATTGCTGGGGTGACCTCAGGGTCTGTCTAGACTTGTGACAGTGTTCTTGGGGACTGTGTCGAGATCCATTAAGCAAGTGGAAGCTCCTGACTTGTTTGATGGGGATCAAGGAATAGCTCTGCATGCACTGCAGGGGAATGGGGCCTCATCTCGCCTCTAGGGGGAAGTCTCATCGTTTTTATCGAGTTGCGGCGGGAACCTGGGTTATGTTCTCGAGTTACGGCGGGGATGGCCCTTCAAAACACGTGTTTATTCAGTGACTTCAGGACTCATGTCTGCTAAAGAGGGACACCTCAGGAATCTCTTCGAGGCTTGGCAGGGCAAAAGGGACGTTCTCGTGGTGAGGCAGGGCACTCAAGGACCCTTTCCAGCAGCCACAGGGAATTTGGGATTCCTACCAGTATTCAAGAGGAGTCAGGACCGTCACATTTTGAAGCAGTGAACTCCGCGTGCCTCTCGAGGTGTCAACGGGATGTGAGGCATTCCGTCAAAATGAGGCAGGGATCTAGGGCTTTATCTAAGGTCTCCACAGGGGATTCAGTCATCCCTTCCTGTTGTGAGATGAAAGACGAGCCTGTATTCAAGCCACTGAAAAGAAATCCGGCCTCCTTTCAAGTAAGGGCTTCTCGCTGTATATTCCCCTTGAGGCAGCAATCTCAGGGTCCTTCCCACATACCTATTGCTGAGAGAAGCCTCCTCTTGAGGTACTTCTGGAAAGTTGGCATTCGTCTTGAGCATAAGCCAGGGAATCAGGTCTCATCTCGTGACGATTTGGGGTACACGGAGCATTCTTCGAGTTGCTGTGCTGAAGTTGCTGTTCCTCTAGACTGGGGACAGTGTTCTCGGGGCATCTCTGGAGTTGCCTGAAGGAAGTCAAGCCACTGGTGGTGTTGAATGTGGAATGAGGGATGGCTCTGGAATCAATGCAGGGGAATCGGGACTCACCTCGAGTTGATTTGGGGCACATGGAGCTGCTCTGTGTTGCTGGGGTGACCTCAGGGTAAGTCTAGACTTGTGACAGTGTTCTTGGGGACTGTCTCGAGATCCTTTAAGCAAGTGGAAGCTCCTGACTTGTTTGATGGGGATCACGGAATAGCTCTGCATGCACTGCAGGGGAATGGGGCCTCATCTCGCCTCTAGGGGGAAGTCTCATGGTTTTTCTCGAGTTGCGGCGGGGACTTGGGGTATGTTCTCGAGTTACGGCGGGGATGGCCCTTCAAAACACATGTTTCTTCAGTGACGTCAGGACTCCTGTCTAGTAACGAGGGACACCTCAGGAATCTCTTCGAGGCTTGGCAGAGCAAAAGGGACGCTTCTCGAGGTGAGGCAGGGGACGCAAGGACCCTTTCCAGGAGCCACAGGGATTTTTGGACTCCTATCAGTATTCAAGAGGAGTCAGGCATCGTCTCCTTTTGAAGCAGTGAACTCCGCGTGCCTCTCGAGGTGTCAACGGAATGTGAGGCATTTCCTCAAAGTGAGGCAGGGACCTAGGGCTTTCTCTAAGGTCTACACAGGGGATTCAGACATCCCTTTCTATTGTGAGATGAAAGACGAGCCTGTCTTCAAGCCACTGCAAGGAAATCTGGCCTCCTTTCAAGTTAGGCCTTCTCGTTGTATATTCCACTTGAGGCAGCAAACTCGGGGTCTCTCCCACATACCGATTGCTGAGAGAAGCATCCTCTTGAGGTGCTTCTGGAAAGTTGGCATACGTCTTGAGCCTAAGCCAGGGAATCAGCTCTCATCTCGAGACGATTTGGGGTACACGGAGCATTCCTCGAGTTGCTGTGCTGAAGTTGGTGTTCCTCTAGACTTGGGACAGTGTTCTCGGGGCATCCCTGGAGTTGCCTGTAGGAAGTCAAGCCACTGGTGATGTTGAATGGGGAACGGGGGATGGCTCTGGAGTCAATGCAGGGGAATCGGACATCATCTCGAGTTGATTTGGTGCACATGGAGCTGCTCTGCGTTGCTGGGGTGACCTCAGTGTCCGGCTAGACTTGTCACTGTGTTCTTGGGGACTGTCTCGAGATCCATTAAGCAAGTGGAAGATCCTGACTTGTTTGATGGGGATCACGGAATAGCTCTGCATGCACTACAGGGGAATGGGGCCTCATCTCGCCTCTAGGGGGAAGTCTCATGGTTTTTCTCGAGTTGTGGCGGGGACCTGGGGTGTGTTCTCGAGTTACGGCGGGGATGGCCCTTCAAAACACGTGTTTATTCAGTGACGTCAGGACTCCTGTCTAGTAAGGAGGGACACCTCAGGAATCTCTTCGAGGCTTGGCAGGGCAAAAGGGACGTTTCTCAAGGTGAGGCAGGGTACGCAAGGACCGTTTCCAGTAGCCACAGGGATTTTGGGACTGCTGTCAGTATTCAAGAGTACTCAGGCATCGTCACCTTTTGAAGCACTGAACTCCCCGTGCCTCTCGAGGCGTCAACGGGATGTGAGGCATTCCGTCAAAATGAGGCAGGGACCTCGGGCTTTCTCTAATGTCTCCACAGTGGATTCAGACATCCCTTCCTGTTGTGAGATGAAAGACGAGCTTTTATTCAAGCCACTGCAAGGAAATCTGGCCTGCTTTCAAGTTATGGCTTCTCGCTGTATATTCCCCTTGAGGCAGCATACTCGGGGTCCCTCCCACATACCTATTGCTGAGAGAAACCTCCTCTTGAGGTGCTTCTGGAAAGTTGGCATACGTCTTGAGCGTAAGCCAGGGAATCAGCTCTCATGTCGAGAAGATTTGGGGTACACGGAGCATTCCTCGAGTTGCTGTGCTGAAGTTGCTGTTCCTCTAGACTTGGGACAGTGTTCTCGGGGCATCTCTAGAGTTGCCTGAAGGAAGTCAAGCCACTGGTGGTGTTGAATGGGGAATGAGGGATGGCTCTGGAGTCAATGCAGGGGAATCGGGACTCACCTCGAGTTGATTTGGGGCACATGGAGCTGCTCTGTGTTGCTGGGGTGACCTCAGGGTCCGTCTAGACTTTTGACAGTGTTCTTGGGGACTGTCTCGAGATCCTTTAAGCAAGTGGAAGCTCCTGACTTGTTTGATGGGGATCACGGAATAGCTCTGCACGCACTGCAGGGGAATGGGGCCTCATCTCGCCTCTAGGGGGAAGTCTCATGGTTTTACTCAAGTTGCGGCAGGGACCTGGGGTATGTTCTCGAGTTACGGCGGGGATGGCCCTTCAAAACTCATGTTTATTCAGTGACATCAGGACTCCTGTCTAGTAACGAGGGACACCTCAGGAATCTCTTCGAGGCTTGGCAGCGCAAAAGGGACGCTTCTCGAGGTGAGGCAGGGCATGCAAGGACCGTTTCCAGTAGACACAGGGATTTTGGGATTCCTATCAGTATTCACGAGGACTCAGGCATCGTCACCTTTTGAAGCAATGAACTCTGCGTGCCTCTCGAGTTGTCAGCAGGATGTGAGGCATTCCGTCAAAATGAGGCAGGGACCTAGGGCTTTCTCTAAGCTCTCCACAGGGGAATCAGACCTCCCTTCCTGTTGTGAGATGAAAGACGAGCCTGTATTCAAGCCACTGCAAGGAAATCCGGCCTCCTTTCAAGTTAGGGTTTCTCGCTGTATATTCCATTTGAGGCAGCAAACTCGGGGTCCCTCCCTCATACCTATTGCTGAGAGAAGACTCCTCTTGAGGTGCTTCTGGAAAGTTAGCATATGTCTTGAGCCTAAGCCAGGGAATCAGCTCTCATCTCGAGACGATTTGGTGTACACGGAGCATTCCTCGAGTTGCTGTGGTGAAGTTGGTGTTCCTCTAGACTTGGGACAGTGTTCTCGGGGCATCTCTGGAGTTGCCTGAAGGAGTCAAGCCACTGGTGGTGTTGAATTGGGAATGGGGGATGGCTCTGGAGTCAATGCAGGGGAATCGGGCCTCACCTCGAATTCATTTGGGGCACATGGAGCTGCTCTGCGTTGCTGGGGTGACCTCAGGGTCCGTCTAGACTTGTGACAGTGTCCTTAGGGACTGTCTCGAGATCCATTAAGCAAGTGGAAGCTCCTGAATTGTATGATGGGGATCACGGAATAGCTCTGCATGCACTGCAGGGGAATGGGGCCTCATCTCGCCTCTAGGGGGAAGTCTCATGGTTTTTCTCGAGTTGCGGCGGGAACCTAGGTTATGTTCTTGAGTTACGGCGGGGATGGCCCTTCAAAACATGTGTTTATTCAGTGACGTCAGGCCTCCTGTCTAGTAACGAGGGACACCTCAGGAATCTCTTCGAGGCTTGGCAGGGCGAAAGGGACGCTTCTCGAGGTGAGTCAGGGCAGCCAAGGACACTTTCCAGTAGCCACAGGGATTTTGGGATTCCTATCAGTATACAAGAGGAGTGAGGCATCGTCACCTTTTGAAGCAGTGAACTCCGCGTGCCTCTCGAGGTGTCAACGGGATGTGAGGATTTCCGTCACAATGAGAAGGGACCTAGGGCTTTATCTAAGGTCTCCACAGGGGAATCAGACCTCCCTTCCTGTTGTGAGATGAAAGACGAGCCTGTATTCAAGCCACTGCAAGGAAATCCGGCCTCCTTTCAAGTTAGGGCTTCTCGCTGTATATTCTCTTGAGGCAGCGCACTCGGGGTCCCTCCCAAATATCTATTGCTGAGAGAAGCCTCCTCCTGAGGTGCTTCTGGAAAGGTGGCATACGTCTTGAGCCTAAACCAGGGAATCAGCTCTCATCTCGAGACGATTTGGGGTACACGGAGCATTCCTCGAGTTGCTGTGCTGAAGTTGGTGTTCCTCTAGACTTGGGACAGTGTTCTCGGGGCATCTCTGGAGTTGCCTGAAGGAAGTCGAGCAACCGGTCGTGTTGAATGGGGAACGGGGAATGGCTCTGGTGTCAATGCAGGGGAATCGGGCCTAATTCGATTTGATTTGGGGCACATGGAGCTGCTCTGCGTTGCTGGGGTGACCTCAGGGTCCGTCTAGACTTGTGACAGTTTTCTTTGGGACTGTCTCGGGATCCATTAAGCAATTCGAAGCTCCTGACTTGTTTGAATGGGATCACGGAATAGCTCTGCATGCACTGCAGGGGAATGGGGCCTCATCTCGCCTCTAGGGGGAAGTCTCATGGTTTTTCTCGAGTTGCGGCGGGGACCTGGGGTATGTTCTCGACTTACGGCGGGGATGGCCCTTCAAAACACGAGTTCCTTCAGTGACGTCAGGACTCCTGTCTAGTAACAAGGGACACCTCAGGAATCTCTTCGAGGCTTGGCAGGGCAAAAGGGACGCTTCTCGAGGTGAGGCAGGGCACCCAAGGACCCTTTCCAGTAGCCACAGGGATTTGGGGATTCCTATCAGTATTCAAGAGGAGTCAGGCATCGTCACCTTTTGAAGCAATGAACTCCGCGTGCCTCTCGAGGTGTCAACGGGATGTGAGGCATTCCGTCAAAATGAGGCAGGGACCTAGGGCTTCCTCTAAGGTCTCCACAGGGGATTCAGACATCCCTTCATGTTTTGAGATCAAAGACAAGCCTGTATTCAAGCCACTGCAAGGATATCCGGACTACTTTCAAGTTAGGGCTTCTCGCTGTATATTCCCCTTGTGACAGCAAACTCGGGGTCCCTCCCACATGCCTATTGCTGAGAGAAGCCTCCTCTTGAGGTGTTTCTGGAAATTTGGCATACGTCTTGAGCCTAAGCAGGGAATCACCTCTCATCTCGAGATGATTTCGTGTACACAGAGCATTCCTCGAGTTTCTGTGCTTAAGTTGGTGTTCCTCTTGACTAGGGACAGTGTTCTCTGGGCATCTCTGGAGTTGCCTAAAGGAAATCGAGCCACCGGTCGTGTTGAATGGGGAACGGGGAATGGCTCTGGAGTCAATGCAGGGGAATCGGGCCTCATCTCGAGTTGATTTGGGGGACATGGAGCTGCTTTGCGTTGCTGGGGTGACCTCAGGGTCCGTCTATACTGGTGACAGTGTTCTTGGGGAATGTTTCGAGATCCATTATGCAATTCGAAGCTCCTGACTTGTTTGAATGGGATCACGGAATAACTCTGCAGGCACTGCAGAGGAATGGGGCCTCATCTCGCCTCTAGGGGGAAGTCTCATGGTTTTTCTCGAGTTGAGGCGGGGACCTGGGGTATGTTCTCGACTTACGGCGGGGATGGCCCATCAAAACACGAGTTTCTTCAGTGACATCAGGACTCCTGTCTAGTAACGAGGGACACCTCAGGAATCTCTTCGAGGCTTGGCAGGGCAAAAGGGACGCTTCTCGAAGTGAGGCAGTTCACCCAAGGACCCTTTCCAGTAGCCATAGGGATTTTGGGATTCCTATCAGTATTCAAGAGGAGTCAGGCATCGTCACCTTTTGAAGCAATGAACTCCGTGTGCCTGTCGAGGTGTCAACGGGATGTGAGGCATTCCGTCAAAATGAGGCAGGGATGTAGGGCTTTCTTTAAGGTCTCCACAGGGGATTCAGACATCCCTTCATGTTGTGAGATGAAAGACATGCCTGTATTCAAGCCACTGCAAGGATATCCGGCCTCCTTTCAAGTTAGGGCTTCTCGCTGTATATTCCCCTTGAGGTAGCAAACTCGGGGTCCCTCCCACATACCTATTGCTGAGAGAAGCCTCCTCTTGAGGTGCTTCTGGAAAGGTGGCATACGTCTTGAGCCTAAGCCAGGGAATCAGCTCTCATCTCGAGACGATTTGGGGTACATGGAGCATTCCTCGAGTTGCTGTGCTGAAGTTGGTGTTCCTCTTGACTTG